GAAAAAGTGCAAGATACGGATGGAATGAGCAAGCTACGAGGACGGGTTCAAATACTGGATTAGCGAAAAGTTTGAAAAATAGTTCCCTGACCCTACCTGAAACACGTTTACAATTGCAGAGCCAACAAAATTTTACGTAACACGAATGCGATCGAAGCGTGCGTACATCGACGAATAAAGTGGCACACAGTTTGCTTTCCAGGCTCGAAGAGGGCCCGAAGAAGAGGCTCGACGTGGGTGGATGCGATCAGTCGATCAGGGCGTCTCCATTCGGTCGCGCGTCGCGATTAACACTTTGCTCGCCGAGATTTCTTTTCAAGTATATGAACAACTAGCGTCTACCGAGAGCTTCGAACTTTATCGTACCATTTCTCGTCGTCGAAAGTGATCCTTTCTTTTCGAAATTTATATTTCATCTTTAATCGATGTTAAATACAGATTTCTGCTAGCGCAGAATCCAACGATTCCTTTAAATTTTTATCAAGATAATACGAACACACCCATACCGTGTATGTTTGTGGTCGCGTAGAGCAACAACGGTGGGCAACATGTTAAAATTATTACGAACGTGCGAGTCAATTACCAGTCTCGCTTTCCTCGCCGCGTGAACCTGTTATTATTTCGTAAATTGATCGGGTAGATAATTGCCCGAGGCAACGTAAATCCACGAAACGAACGCGTCGAGACTTTTGTACGTGTAGTATATCCGTCCTTGAAGTCGTTTAATTTTATTCGAGTGTACAGGCAACAAAAATCATTGACGATAACAAACCAACTAGAGAAAGAAACGAGATAGACAGTGAGTTTTGGGACACCCCGTAGCATTCGAGCGCACCAAGGGGTCTCTGAATTCGAGACTGTCGTATGTTGCGAATCGAAAACGACAATGTGTAATCGAAGCGTGAAAGTCTTGGACGAATTTCGAGAATTTCCATTGACAGCAGAAAGTGGGACGCGGTTGGTTCACCTGTTTGCACGTGTTCTGCGGGCCTACACGTTCGAACTTGCGCGTTTTATTTGTCTTTTTTGAGATACGAAGTCACGAAAGTGGCAACCTGTGAATAATTCGTAGAGATAGAGAACGCTGGAAGCACGCATTTCGCGTAAACGTACGACGATGGAACGTGATCGACGATTAGTGACGTCCGAAAGTGATACAACGAGGTGCAACGAAATCGTTATGAAATTGCTCTGACGTAACGGTTACGGTGTTACTAATAACGCGACAGGTTCAAAATCGTTCTATCGAAGAGTAACGATTCCCGCGGTAATTATCCCATTGTTACGCTCGAGTGATCGAAAATGAAACACGTCGATCGTAACAGAAATCAATTTAGAAAATGCTAACGACTCACCGTACGACCTCTTCTATTGTGATTTTCAAACGGTAAAGCTGTATTTTGACCGTGTCCAACGTTCGTTGAATATTGATAAACACGATATGCAAATAATCCAAGATATAATATTGGATGCAATGCAAATATTCGAACGAGCCACCTACCGCATGGCCGGCTCGCTTGGGCGTCTACAGCCTTGCCAATCGTGCAAAATTAAAACGATCGAAATTCAACCACCGTACGCATTAACGCCAACATACTTTGATTTCCATACAAGCCGCCGGTTCGTACGTCTTGTATCAAAAGATACTAAAGTACCTTGTTTACAAAAGTACAATGTAATAGCTCACGTTCTTCTTTTTAATTAGGAGCCCCGTTAACGAACCTTTAGAGATATTTAAACGTTTCTCGATTAATTTACCAAGATTATGAAAATGATCGTCCTCGCAGCTCTACCAAAATAATGTTTTTTTTTTTTTTTTTTTTCAATAATTCGCCAAATAATCCCTTACGACAGCCAAACGAAACGTTAGCCAACCCTAATCGAATTCGCAGACTCCCTCAGACACAAGATGGCCCCGTAACCGCCTAACTTCCGAACTCACGGGAACGTGAGAGCGGACGGTTGAGCGTTAAGATATGATTGTCTGCAAACAAAACTTGACAGCGTCCTCGGTGATGTGCAGGAGAGACCCAGACGAGTCCGTGAAAATTGCAAAGAATAAAATCGGATCGGGATCGAAGATGCAGCGGACTTGCGAGACGATAACGATACCAAAGATAGTGGTTTGCTCCAAGTCGACCGTGGACGACTGCACAGACATGGACGACTGCGAGAGGAAGCACCTTGGCCAAAGGAAAATGACCAGACCAAGGGCCAAGAAACACTCGAGGCGCTTCTCGGTTAGCATTATCGATCGTCGATCGCCGTCTTCCTCCAGGAGTCCTTCTCCGTTGTACTTGAGGTCTCAGTCGCAGGATCAGGAGGATCGCAAGGCTGAAAAGAAAGCAAACAACGAGGACGACTACCTCGACCAAGCTTTCAATGTCGAAAGAAACGAGAAGAATCGCTTGACGGATCCTGAAACTCAGTCAGAGTCTGACTCGGAAGCCAAGGACGAGGCACTTAGGGTCGATAGGCCGCGTAACGGCTTGAAGAGCGAAAATAAGAAAGAAGGTGGTCGAAAGTTTGAAAAGAACGCGGAGAACGTTGGATCCTCTGGGATCGACGGCATCGAACCTTGCAAAAGACTCTCCAGGTGCGACAGATGCCTCAGGAGCCAGAGGGTATTCCAGATTAACAAAGAAGATAGTTGCTTGAACAATTGTTCGGGGTACCAGCAGTACCTGAGACTGCTCTCGGTACCGCAGACCAACCTGGAATGGGGTGAAGGTAGCGGCGACGATCTGAGCTCCGAATGGGACTCGGATTACACGGATCGTTCTAGCGAACGAACCGTCGCGAAGGTAACCAGGATGTCCCCTACGGACTGTCGAGACCCTTTTCTCAAGTAAACTTGTACAATCACTTATTGTTATTATTTATTCCTCCTTTGCGAACGTGCTCTCATCTAGATGCTCCGCAGACCTTGGAAACTTGGGAACATTGTCAGGATTCACAGTAATACCTTTGTCTCTCTTTCTGTTTTAGTCGTCAGGCTGGAGGAAGCTGAGGAACATCGTTCACTGGACGCCGTTCTTCCAGACATACAAGAAACAGAGATATCCTTGGGTGAGTCGACTGTTTTCGTCTTCGTCTTTGCTTACCTACAAAAATTGTCTGCGTCAGCTGACCACCAGGAAGCACCACTTATCAACGAGTCCACCTTTTTAACGAGAATTTTGTTTGGCGTCGATTCAGGTGCAACTAGCAGGACACCAAGGAAACTTCCGCGCGGGACGTACGCCAGGAACGATTCTAAAGAAACTTTGCCCCCAAGAGGAAGCCTGCTTTCGGCTGCTGATGAACGACGTCTTGAGGCCTTACGTGCCAGAGTTCAAAGGTGTCCTGGACATAAATGAATCGGATGAAGTGAACATCGAGGAGACCGACGCGCAAAAAACCGTTCAGAAAGACGGCACAGGGGACGCCATCGGCAAAAGAACCATGGTCTCCTCTTACCTGGAGCTTCAGGATCTCCTCGGCGATTTCGAGCATCCCTGCGTGATGGACTGCAAAGTTGGCGTCAGAACGTACCTCGAGTCCGAGCTGGCCAAAGCTAAGGAAAGACCCAAGGTACACAATTAATAAACACGTTACTCTTAGTTGTAGAAAGGAATGTACACCTTTACGTACTCGTGAAACGCAAACGAGACTAATTCGGGGTTCTTCTTATTTACTTTCTCTGCGTAGTTGAGAAAAGACATGTACGAGAAAATGGTGCAAGTTGACCCCACTGCACCGAGTGCCGAGGAACGTCGCGTGCAAGGCGTCACGAAGCCAAGGTACATGGTTTGGCGTGAAACGATATCCAGCACCGCCACGCTTGGTTTTCGCGTAGAAGGTATCAAGCTTGCTCACGGGGGATCGTCCAAGGACTTCAAAACGACACGTAGTCGAGAACAGGTTTGTTGATGTATACATCTACCGTTTTATATAACCGTAACAGTCCGTAAATAGTAACCGACAAAGTAAGCTAATCAAAGATCGAACTTTGATGTTAGGTGACGGAGGCATTGACGCGTTTCGTGGAGGGCTACCAACACGCGATACCCAAGTACATACAGCGTCTGACCGCGATAAAAGCCACGCTGAAGGCGTCACCGTTCTTTGCCACGCACGAGGTCGTTGGCTCGAGCCTGTTGTTTGTTCACGACGCCAAGAATGCCGGGATTTGGATGATCGATTTCGCGAAAACGTTACCTCTGCCGCAACACTTGCCACGGATTCACCATGACGCCGAGTGGCAAGTGGGAAACCACGAGGATGGATATTTGATAGGCGTAAACAATCTGATAGATATATTCCAAGATATACGAAACTCGGAGACTACATAGTTCTTACTTTCCGAACGAGAACATGTGTAGCCGTGTCGAGTGATACATTTAATGTGTTCAGTGATAAGATTTATCACCGATATTCGACGCGATTATACGTGTTCTTGTTCCGAATCGATGACGAGCACGCAATCTAACGTTGTCAATATTTTTTTTTAATATACATTTGACGCACGCGATACAGCGAAGAGGATATCACGTAAATAAATTTTGTACATAGATCTACGGACATGCTTCGTTGACGGTATCCTCGACAAGAAACGGACCAAAGACGCGGTGGCTACAGGCTGCCTAGGTATTCATAGTGAAACGCTCCCTACGACAGCGTTTTCCAAACTGTCTTGCACGAAAGATCATAATTAATCGTCAAGGGAGAACACCATATTAAAAGCGCATACTTTGAACAATATTTCGGCCATTTGTCGTACAAGATCAAAAATCGAATGGTCGCCCGAAAATATCGGTGTTGTGTAAATATTATTGTTAACGTACCCTAAAAAAAAGTTTGGGAGACGCTGTTCTGCGAAAACGTAGACCGTAAAGAGAGAACCCCTGTAAAAATAACGTTTAACGTTCTAGCGTAATTAGATAAGTTTTATTTATACGTTACATTCGACGCTGCGGAATCATCTTGATACAAGAGAAAAGAGAGAAAGAGTGAGCGAGTGAGAGAAAACGGTGTTTTTATATTTAAAATCGTACCATGCATTTGTAAATAATTCGACACTTAATACAAAAAAAGAAGGCCAACAATGACCCGCCTGTATTCTTATTTCACCTTGTTGACTCGAATTTGCACGGAAACTGTGCGCAACGACGCAGACCTGTCAGTACGGTAGTCCTTCGTAACTTTTTCTTAATTCTTCTTTTACCTTTCTTTTTACATTCGAATTCGGTTCTAGTTTGCCACGAAACTCCGAGACTACTCCAGGAGACGAAACTGAACGAGAGAACGGAATAATGCAAAACAATAAAATGACGCGTCAATTCTGTCAGGGCGTGCTGTAGGAGTTGTTTCTCGATTGTTGTTGAGCTTGAATGGTCTGCTGCTGCTGCTGCTGCTGCTGTTGCTGCTGCTGCTGTTGCTGTTGCTGTTGCTGCTGTTGGTTCCCAGTGGACTGAGTCGAGGTTATGGTCGTGGGAGCTATCACTCGTGCGTAAACCGCTGCACCGGTGGTTTTCAGGCCTGTCGGAGTCGGTATCACTTTTAGACCGTGCAGCGTCTTGATGTTGAGCAATTGGCTCGGTAGGATGATGGGCTGTTGTTGCGTTTGCTGTTGCGACGTCTGCTGTTTTCCCAGAACCACGCTTCCGCTGGTGCTCACGCCTACTCCGACGTTTTTGTTGCCGCTAGCCAACACTATAGGTTTTCCAGCCAACTGAGCCGTCACCATACGCACCGTCTGGGGCTGCGACTGTTGTTGTTGCTGCGTACTGACTATGATCTTGGATTGCCCCGAGGACGACTGCGCTTGCGATACCATCTGATATTGGGTTTGTATGACCTGCTTGCCTTGCCTGTTGAGTTGATTAGCGTGACTAGTGGTTGCCAATTTCAATCCCTTCTGCGCGAGAAGACTCTCCACAGAGATGAGTTGACCGCCGCCTGAACTAGTTAAAACCTTCGCTAGGATCTTTTGTTGCTGTTGCTGCTGTTGTTGATGCGGGGACTGCTGTATTTGGACCGCGATCGGCTTTCCTCCGATCTGTGCTATTATACGTTGCATGCCAGACGTCTGAATCGACTGTTGTTGATTGGCTACGACGCGCTGTTGGATCTGTTGTTGCTGATGCTGTTGCTGTTGCTGAAAATGAAACGAATACCTCAGATATCGGTTGCGATTAATCCCGAATACCATTACGCGAACAATTCGTACCTTCAGTTGTTGCTGCTGCAACTGCTGCGTTTGATTGCCGGAAGGCGACGACTGTTTGATAAATATCGTCTGACCTTGTAAACCGTGACCCGTGAGGAGCGATTTAATTTGTCCCGAACTAACCAACTTGATCTGCGAGGCCAGCAAAGTCTTCCCAGGTAACACGTGTTGCTGCTGACTCTGTTGTTGCTTTATATTGGCGGTCTGCAAAATGCTTTTTCCCGCTTGATTCGTTACGATCGTCTGTTGCTGCTGTTGCTGGGATTGTTGCTGCTGCTGCTGTTGACTCTGTACTTTGGCTTGAGGGAATATCGTCGTCAAATTGGTGGTCACATTTGATGCGTTACTGGAGGCGCTGTTGGATGCAACGGATTGGGCGGAGTGCAGCACAGAATGTCCAGACAATCGTATAGTTTGCAAGCCTGCAGAGGTCGACACTTGAATTTGATGATGAGGAAAGTGTTGCTGATTCGACTGTAACAGGCTCTGAGCGTTTGTCTTCACGACAGCGACAGGTTTTCCACTGATGTTGGTCACCTTTTTCGCTGGGACCGTGGTTGTAATCTGTGGTTTCGCTATTTCGTTACTCGTTATGTCCTTTTCGACGGTCACAGTGCTTATGGAGGTAGGTATACTCGTGTGAGTGGTAACGGGGACGGTAGTTCCTGTTACGGAGACGGCCGAAGTCGTAGCGCTGATCGTCGTCGCCACGTTCGTAGGGACAACAGGCTGCTCGGTCGAGACCGAATGATCGACGACAATCTTTTCTTCGGTTTTCTTCTGCTCCTTTCTGTAAGAACGATATACAATCTTGGAACGCAACTCTAAATTTTTGCGAATAAAATAGAATAGTTTCAAGTTTACCTAGATATAACAGGCTGCGCGATGGTCGCGGCTTTTCTTTCTTTCTTAGGCGTACTTTCTTTGCTGCTAATCGGAGACTGCTCCTTGTTAATATTTGTAGGCTTTATAACCGGTGGTAACGTTTTGTTTCGCGACATGCTACCAACGTTCTTCTTGTTCTTCGCGACACCTTGCAACTGTTGATGGTACATTTCTATGGAAGAAAAAAAAAACAATAAAAATATTAAATTATAGAATTTGACGTAGGGTTGCTCATGTGTTTCTCGTTTTTCGTACGAACCGAATTCAGACTCCGAGCGCGCACGATGAAGATACAACCACTCTTTGCGACGGGGGTAATACCGAACGCAAGGATCTGTTTCGTAATGCAATCTATCCAAAGCACCAGACACGACCGAATGCAGGTATCCTTCCTTGTCGTCGCTGTCCGTTTGTTCTCTGATGTACTGGGAGTCCTTTAACAATTGACAAATGTCGGCTCGAGTCCCTTCGCCGTTAGGGAGCCTCGCAGTGGCGTCTCTCACCAATGCCAAGATCGTAACAAAATTTGGTCGATCAGCCACCAGTAACGAGTGTCCGCGAGCCTTGGTCAATCCAGAGGCTGTAGGAAACATCGAACAAATATCCAAGTGAACGAAAGGGAATGGATAATTTTCTCCTTTAAGAGTCTCCTCTTTTTTAGAGGAAAACAATTTCGAAACTTACCGACGTTATGTTGATAAATGCCTTTCACCGGACCCACGACAGACGCGTAACCGTGCATTCTGTAAGTAAACGCTTTATGAGGTGCAGCGTAACGCATTCGTTCCTGTCTTCTAAACTCGTCGCGTTCTTCCGGTGTGGAAGGACGAACTTTCCATTCGGTAGGCCAAAGAGCGCGAGGAGGTTCCCATTCTGCGACGGTGTTCATAGATCCTCCGTCGACGTTGATCGATTCTATGACAGGACTGCTAGCTCTACAGCTTGTCGCATTTGTGTTTCCGTTTCCGGAACTGTTACCAACGTTACTGTTGTTAATGTTACTATTGCTAGACTGCGTCATTTGAGACTGCTGTTTCACAGCTGTCACGGAGCAGACCGCGGATGTTGGCGGACCTAATGAATCTCTGAAACGTAACAATATCTTTTATATATAGAAAATCTCAATTTCCAAACCTAAACTGTAACGTAACATATACACATATATAGTAATACATACTTGTGTAACAAGAATTTCGTGCATAAATCTGACAGACGTGAATCCGAATCGCGTCCAGCGCCAATCCACGCGTAAACTCCGTTTCCTTTGTTCTCTAAGTAGGGGACGAGTTCTGGTTCGCGTTCTTGTCGGTCACCCAATTCTTGAGAATAAGTGAATTCTCCGGCAAGAAACCCCAAAGCCAATGGGACCAACGCAGTCCAAGAAGACGCGAACGAGTACCTAAATTAACGATGTTTAACGATTGCTATCTATCGTGAAAAGTACTCGCTCTATACCTACCAATCGTTCAATGGCGAAATAGGGTTCCCTTGCCACTGCGTGACAGCTTCTTTCATTTCCAGTCCGCTCATTCTGAACTCGCCCTTCGAGGTGAAAGCGTCTCTTAACAACGAGAAGAAACAAGCATGCGTTTCCTGCATTAGCTCTGCTCCACTGCTAATGTCCATAGCATCGTCGTTTCCTTGAACGTTTAATTCTTTATCCGGTATCGATATCACGCCTTCGTCCTCGCATCTGAACAAATTTTCTAATGTATTTGTTTTGTTTAAAAAAGGTACAGATAGAAAGAGGGGGAAACGTACTTGACGTCGTCCAGTATATCGATTCCGTCGTCCAATTGAATCGGTATTTGCATCATGTCGATGCTGTCCAAATCGAGTTCCTTCTTATCGTTCTCCTCGTCTTCCTCTGTTTCGGGAGGAACGTCTTCGTTCACACCGCTGAGTTCCGTTTTAATGTCTTCGTACTCCATGTCTTCCACTTCTTTCTTAATCTCTGGCGTAGACATCACCGAAGACTTGCTGCCTCTCGATGTTGCGGGACTCCTGTAACAGCAAGCCGATAAAACTTTCTAGTATACGCGGTTTATTACATTTTCTCTATTATAGATAAAGCGTTAAATTACAATTTCTTCTTCGATATCTGATGCATTTCGTACGCGTCTATGGGCTCCGATTTGATCGGCGTGAGCATCCTGTGATCCATGTCCAATGCGTTGGAATGTCTATTGTCGTCCGTCGTGTGAGAGTAGTCGCTGTTGTCGCTCTCGTGTTTTATCGAATTCGAATTGATTAATCTCGGCGCTGGTGGGCATAGGGGCGATGGTTCTAGTTTAATTCGTTTCTTCACTGGCGTGATGCGCATGGTTGGACCGATGGGCAATTTGTGTTTCTGGCCGACTTGTGCCCTTTGAGTGAGATCGGCGAGAGCGATACCTTGGGTGTTCAATTCTGGATGAATCTAAAGTGAATGCAACGAATCGTTAACAAAGGTGAACGCGTTACACAAAGTTGTTACTAGCTCGAGAACATACCTGGGCAGATTTTATTTAAAATGAAAAGAAAACATCATGAATATATATTTATGTACATTTTACTCAACGAGCAATCCATAAAAACTTGTTTATCTTTTATTCGTAATTCGAAATGTTCGTCTAGATAAGAATTTTGTCCACGTTTTGGAATAACGTTATTTTAAAAGTGCCCAGGTCCGCGTCGAAGGTGGAAAGTAACTTTACGCACATCGCGTCGCGCTCTTCGTTTTTTATGCTCGAGCAGCATTTCACGGTACATTTCCTCTGTCTGTTCGCGAATGAACAACGATCTATTCGTAGAGTACTCTGCTCGTTGCAGAGTGGAGAAAACGGGTCGAATCGTCTCGTCCTCGTGGTTCATTTGCAAGCCTCTGATGGACAAGCCCTGGGCAGTCATGAACGAACGCCTCTTCTTCTTCTGCTTGGCCCCGGAGAGCTGATAATACGGATAGTTCTCCTCGTTCTCGGATGTCGTGTCCGCCACTAGCTTCGCATTTGCTCCGAGCTCTGTCCTCAGCGCATTCAGTTCCTCCAAATAGCGCAGTTGCGTTTTCTCTTCAACTGTCGGTGCATTGCTTGTTAGTATTGTCCCTCGGAAGTTACTATATACATCTCTGCCAAACGGCTGGAGCGTGGGGGACGTATAAACAGCCAGAAAATTTTTCACAACGATTCGCAGCAGTTGCCCAACTTACCCATAGCAGGCTTCGGTTTCCTCCACTGGACTTTCGACACCGTTCTCTGCGCTGGCTGACTGAAACCCTGCTTGTATGCGTTCAACAACAAGCTCTCTCTAGACTTTAACAACTGACTGGCCAGTTCGTACGATCGCTTTCGTTCTTCGAACAACAATCGCCTTTGCTGCGCCTTGCGTACCAGACCACACATCCTTCTGATGTCTGGGCGATAATGCCCAGCGGACAAGTGAGTGTGAAACGCGTCTAGTGGTGCTACATCGAATCTAAAATGAATATGATCTTGTATGTTTATATGTATTTGTATGTAGAATAAAGTTATCCTTTATAAAATCTATCATGAAACAACTGTACAATCCTGTACCTCTGATTTTCTCTATCAAACAGCATACGCAGAGTCTTTTCTGTTTCAGCCTCGACGTCGCAGTCCTTTGGGAAGCTTGGCAAAAGGCTGCACAGCGTCTCCCTTTGATTCTCGGTCAAGCATTCGTTCCAAATGTAAGGGTAGTCTAGAAATTCTTTAAAAATCGTCGAATGTTCGCACAAATCTTGAGGCAGTTTCACCTTTGTATTCGAGGCGATGCAAGTCTCCCATTTCTAGGAATAAAACATGATTTGTTTACACAGGATAACAATGCAATAGTATCGCTTGCAAATTAAAAATTGTAGGTCATACCACTGTATCGGGACTGTCTGCTTTCATAGAATATTCCGTATTATCGTTTTCATCTTCATCCTCATCTCCAGAACTGTGACTTTCGCTGCCACTAGAACCATGATCCTCTCCGCTGTCGTCTCCACTGTCTGTGGATGTACTGCTTCCACTGATGCTACTGCTACTACTGTTGCTTCTAGATCCACGGGAAGATGCATCATCTTCGTCTTCCTCTGCTCCGCTATCTCCACCAGCTGAGCATTCGTCCATCTACAAATATAAAACACAAATAAGTATATTAATGATAGTATGTATCGCTACAAACATACATTAGGTATTGATAGCGGTGAGGATAACTAACGAAACGCAAAGTCCAGTAAAATTTCATTAATCGAAACAAACAACGTGAACCTTACTCGGGAGTACGTAAAAACACAACAAACGCTCGCGTATGCGTATACGTGTGCGTTGTTAAACGATTACCCAATTAATTAATCGTCCAATTCCGAGTATGAAAATAACGAACGCAATAGGAACGGAGACTTGACGTAAACTATATTCGAGGTAAGATGACACAGGGTATATACGACGCGTTTGTAGCGTATACAGTATTATCGATCATTCGTATGTATAATTTGGTAATAATTAATCGTGACCAACCTCCATTATTTTCAGTTTCTCAGCGTTCGGTCTCTGCTTGTTCCGCGAGCTCTGCTATCCCCGTGAAACCACCAAATAGCACTTCACTGCCGACGATAATAAACAGCCAGAAGAGAAACCAACAACCGTGGAGATATATCACGACGTTTTTTCGATACAGGAAACCCTCGTCGCGTGTCGTGCGAATATTAAGTAATCTCGCCGTTCGCCGTTTGACCTGTCACTGCTACTGCACTCCTACTCTTCCGACAAATTGTAGACATGGCGTGGAATACAGCGAACAGAACCACGGTGTTTGTATATGAAGGATCTCGAGAGCGCGCACCTTCTTCGCCGATTCACAGCCGCGGCAATTCAATGGCGGAGATTTTTAGGGCCAGTTCAAACGCTGATCAAAGCGTCAACGATTCACCTCGTCGATGCCACCGAACACGATGGCAAATTCTTAATATTTTCCGTTCATACGACAAGACTTTTGTAAAAATTTTTTTGTTCGCACGAGAACCAAAACCGAGTATTTCTCAAAGTGTGCGGGAAACTTTCTACTCTTCTAGTGATATTCGTACGACGGCTGTGCTTGTTGGCACGATTGGATAGAGAAAACAAAATTCAATTCGAATCGAGTCTCGAACGAATACGTCAGCGAAACCTTTTTTGATGAAAAGATAAGAAACGCCCGATAACAAGTAACGTTTTACTTAAGTGTCAAATATTTGACAAAGTGGATTATCTAGACAAAAATATTAAAATGTATTTAAAATTATTTGTTTAACGTCCACCTCTGATGTTGTTGCCAGGATCTTGTTTGTAGCATCGATATCGAAACGTTTTCGTTTTTCAGTCTTTCGAAGGTATCGTTACGCTAGTACTTGAGAAGAAAAATAATTTATTTTATAATCCACGAGTATAAGTAAATAACTCACTCGTATGTTGCGTAGCTTTTTATTTGCAAAAAGGGGTTTATAACAAGTGAAATATACAAGTTTAACGACTAAGTATGTTAAGGAACTGAAAAAGTCACCTGTATAAAATTTCAGAAAAATATGTTTTCACCTGAGAACCGATGTCCAGTGGTACGCTATATCGCATCTACAATCTCCTGAATATCATTATACAGGTATATCAACTACCTATACTCAAATATGGTAGTCATTTGTACTGTTATCGCTTACTGTATATATTGCTATTATTATAGAACATCTTGTAAATGTCAAACATCGAACTTTTAATTTAACACAATCTAAATAATATTTTTTTAATATATCTACTACTTACTGTTTCAAAAATACTAATTATCATGTAATCTCAACTTTCATCTTACAAACGAATTTTGTATGTCACCTATTTCTACGTGTTCAAGTGCTAATGGTACCAGCCACGGGTATAAAGCTATTAATAATGCCTTCAGTCTTACGATACCTTGAGTTCTACGTACACCTAGTTTAATGTAAATTATGCACGAGCCTGTGAAAATATTAGTAGATGAAAAGAAAGCAGTGCGACTATATGTTCTGAGGCGGAATATTCTGGTTTATGTTTTGTGCTATTCCATTGCAAGTTGCATCTGCAGTCATAGGCAACATAGGTGGGTATTGCATGTAATGCGGTTGTCCAGCAACTGCGTACCAGTGTTCTTGCATATTTTGCGGTGAAATATTGTACGGGGCTGGCTGGGAACACATGTACGGTGGACATAACCCGGAATAGGCTTGTGCATAATCTAATCCAGGACACAGATGGGGCGAGAATGGTTGTACGCTGGTGTTATCGGGTATGTCGGAATGCGCTAAACAAGGAATTGGAAAGTATGGATTCGGAGGATAGTAAGAATTCGTGAATGCGTCCACTTCGTTGGTATAATACGGTAGTCCAGAATACATGCTTGGTTGCATGTAAGAAGTTTGATACGAGTTCACCGTGTCTTGATTGGCTACCTGATTGGGTACCGAGCGTGTATGTTGAGAACTTGTACCGTTACTTTTCATCTCTTGCGATTTCGAATGCTTGAAATTCGATCCAGAATGCGAATACTGATTGTTTGGTTGTGTAACTTGTTGAACGTTACGATACCGATCTGTAAAAAAAAAAAAAGTTATAGTAAATACATTTTATTTCCGAAATTTAATGAAATATAAACGGGCACATACTGTCTGAATTCTTTTTAAATCGTGGACCCAACCCATTTCTATTTATACGTGGGGACTCTCTATTGATAGACTCCTGTTCCATTACTTTTTCACGCGACGAGTACGATGGATCTTTTCCGTCATCCCCTTTTGGAACTTCTGTTTTTTGCATCTGCATGCTTTTTATATCGTTCGCGCATTTATGCTCGTTTCGCTGGTAATCCTCTCTTTTTTGTTGCGTTATAATTTCCTCCTCGTTTTGAGAAACACCTTTTCGATAAGCACATTCGCAGTTCAGATATGTAACGAAACATATATTATATACAGATTAATCTGAAATTTCTTTACCTTGGTACCATTGTCCAAAACCGGGCGATTGTCCATTCGTCAAATAGTTCCAATTATTGGTTCCATGGAAGTACTAAAAATAATTTGAAATTAAGACGCTATCGATTTTTACATTACTTAACAACGATCGAAAGTGTCATACCTCTAATCCTAAGTTATAAAAAAATCTCAAGGTAAATGGATCTACAAAGAAAACAATATTTATAAATTATACTATGCGATTATACGCGTATAAAACGATATTTATCGTTACCTGATAATGGCAAGTCGCTGCCATTCACATCAACGCTCTTTTGTACAGAACAATTAATAGGACATATCATGTTGTCTACTGGATTATGAGGAACAGGTTCTCCTAATGAAATACAAATTATTGGAGCAAAGAACAATATTTTTAAACAATTCGAGACTTCTTAATAACATACTAGTATATGGTACACAATAGTTATAGTTTTCGACATTCGTTATATGATCAGAGTTTGAGTTTTTTATCGTATTATTCGCGGAACATGTATTTGCAAGCGAATTTTTTTCTTTATATTCTCTACCTTTTTCCTGCTTAGCAATGTCCACTGCAGAAGCCTGTGTATTATCGAGAACCATTCTTGAAGAATACTTGTCACCTGAATAATCGAGACAATTCTTTGATCCATACTTATCGTACGATTGTTGATTATCCACTTTTCTATAATAATAAATAACAAATCTGAATATAAATATCTTGTTACTTCAAGACGCGTGCCATTATTTTCAATATACGGAAAGTAAAACAATGCTTACAAAGATTCTTCTCTCCACTGAAAGTTATTTCTGTTAACATTGTTAACATTGTTATCGTTACCTTCATTTTTATCAATATTATTTGATAAACCGTTACCGTTAGAAACTGGCTGTTTAATTTTACGCAAATTTGGACTATACGTCTTTTTCCATTTTTGATCTATTAAAATGTGCAATAAACATTTTACAAAAAAAATTATATACATAGAAAGAATGATGTATTTTTAACTACTAACTTGAATCTAAAAGTACATTTCGTTTGCATACTGGTATCCAACTATTCTGTTTATTTTTCCTTAGAGGTAATGGTTTTAGAGCGCAATACGGAACGATTCTTTTCTCGCCTAATTCCTCGATGAAAACCAATACGGGACCCTGATTTTTACTCATTTCTTGTATGTAGCCATAAAGATCTTTTCCCTTTTTCTGTAATGCTTTCATATTATCATTACCATTGGTATCTTTTTCAAGAGTAGATACATAGATGTTATTGTTATTAGCTTTGTCAAATTCTTCTTCGTTGAATTCTATTTCTACCAAGCATCTACCACCGATTTGAAGTTCGTGACTATTGTGTTTAGTCCATCCTGCATTTTTTACCTCTGCAATATTAAAGTTTCGATTAATTTCTTTGATACGGTACCGTGACATTTAACGCAAAAACCCCTCGTTACCTCGTCTAATTTCATGCCATATGTCGAAATCGGTGTTACGATAAATATTAGGATCGAGAGCTTTCGCGACTCTATACGGAAACGGCGGTACGTTTCTTACTATAAGCTGTGTATCCTCAATCTTGTCGTTTCCACTTTCTACCTTGCTATATATCTCTGCAGTCAACTGACTAAACATGTATCGGATGAATCGACATTGCATTTCCCATAAAATACGAACGACAGAAATATTAATAGACTTACTCTCGCATTTCCATATTGCCTTTAAGGAAAAACTTATCGTGCCTGAACGTAGCAGTCCGGTCGTGTAACATTTTATGGACCGTAGTCTCTATATTGGCCATGTGAAATACATCCTTATAGAGGACTTGATAAACCATAGCTATAAACATAGTTGCATTTATACAATTATTATGTGGTTCTGAAAAATAATTGTACATAAATGTAATAGAATTCCTACATTGGCAATAAGCAGCAGTTGCGACTACATCCCTTGTATAAATGGTATCGTATTGTTTTTGCGGGGTATGGCATAAATATATAGTATCTTTGAAACCATTATTAGTGACGGCATGACGAGTTTGCTTTTGACCATTAAATATAATAAATTCCCTCTCGAAAAGCAACGACATGGCTTGAATTTCATTGACACCACCCCATTCTGTGAAACATGCCATTTGTTCTAGGTAATCGTCAAATGGAATCGTTATATTCTGAAGAAGAAATTAATTTCAACAATAAGAAGGCTATAAAAATAATTTACGTATATATATTTGTCTTTAATTTCTACGCGTAACAAATTAATTAATATGAGACACTTGGCGATCGAAGTGTTAAACTATAACGTGGTATATTAACGATAATTGAAAAATCTACGGAATATGAAATAAAATCTACCTCTACGAACAAGTGTTTCATTTTTCTCATAAATTCGACACACTTCTTTCTGACCCTTATATGATAATATTGTGTCATGTAAACTTGTTCACTGACTGCCCTAAACAAGCATGTCGGATCCTTGGGTGCATGTTTCCTAAAATACCCTTCGGTTTGCAACCATTCGTCGACAGGTTCCTGTGCACGTTTCGACAACTTTCTCGGCGATATTTCCATCTTACACTACCAAACTGAATAATACAAGAAATCCAGTCTTATTACTTTCGTGAAATGTAAGCGAATGTAAACATATTCCAGCGCTAGAAACTCTACCAAGGTGATCTCGAAGGTGATCGCTAGCGATCGCGTTTATCAAAAATTTGCGAATGAGTTTGATAATACTTTTCAACGATTTAGGTGTACCTGGTACAATAGAAATAGGCAGTAACGTCGAGAAATTCGATCGTGCGTAGAGATCGTCGATTGCGTCGAGACGATGAATAAAAACGAAAGTTTAACTGCTACTTTGCACCCGCGACAACGGCATGGCTCTACCAGAGGATCGGCAACAGGAACAGGCAACAGGTCCTTCTTCACGAGGTGTTGTTAGAATCGATTTCCACGAGACTATTGGACACCGGACGAAAATGACAAAATCAACCAATCGTGATCGGTTATTCTGTTGCTCTTGGTTAGAAAAGGACTTTACCCACCACCACACGTGCGAATAATTTGTACCTTTGTTTTATATTTTCGCGCGACAGTTTGAATGTCTTTTGTGGCATTCAAGCTTTTACCGTTAGAGAATAGAAGATGAACGATACTTTTTACCGAAAATGTTTCATTGCGTAAGAAATATTATGCTTTCGATTGCATTGTTATTACATGATCGGTTGTATATAATAAAAACATAATGAAAATTAGATAGAATAGTGTCTGGGCGACAAAAGATTCTTCGTTTTTACAAATTACTTTTTTTTTTATTCGTCATATTTTTTATCGGAATGACAATGCGACGTGTACGAAATATTAAAAAAGTACAATAGCCTGTTATATAAAATATGATTTTTACACAAATATAAGATCAACCGCTGTACCATTGCGATATATCTGTAACGCATGCAATGCTACCCAATTTTGTTGCTATCGAAAATAACGTTTGCCTGCGTGCAGAGCTTTCTTAGTATAAAAAGTACATCCTTTGGCGAGTTAGTGTATATATAGAGACGGATATTGATGCAGGCCCAAAATTATCTGACGATCGTTGATAACGTTACACATCGAACAGATTGCTTGTCCAAGTTTTTATTGTGTCTTAGTTAAGTTTGGGCCCAAACCTCCATCGTCGTTCCGTTGTTAATGGTTTCGTGTAAAAAATCGACTTGTGCGTCTCGCCGAAAGGAACGCTCATGGCGGTAGGATAAGTATATAATCATAAGATTACATTAACACAGTGTTTCGCATTCTCCTTTGTTTCCTGTCGGCAATGTATGAATAATTGTTATAAAATGTCATGATATAGAAAATGGAAGAAATGAGTCGCTGCTCCCTTTCTTTTTTCTTCTCTTTGTTTCGCGAGAGCTTCGTTTTAAGCAGCTATCTTTTCAGCATCGATCGCTAAAACAGAAAATAACGTCCCGTTTAATCGTTCAATAAAAATCTATCCTTCTAAATTTATAGTTCTTCAGAATTTATCAGAGTTATAATATTAAAAAATTTCACCTTCTTTGGTTGGCAAGACATTTTTCTCCAGCGTTTCCGCATGTTTCAGTTTCGCCGGATCGAAATTTTCAATTCCAGAGATTAACTCTTGCTTTCCTTTCTCCTGCTGGATAGCTACGTAAATCAATACAATTCACAATTCTATTAATAATGCTCACGTATATTCTTCATGCTTGCTTGACACTCTTTATCGTAACACGATAACAATTATGACAACAACGAAAATATAAATATAGAAGTTTCGAAATACGATACTGTACCATCTTTGTCGGGTAGTGGATTTTTTTCTTGGGTCTCGGTATGCTTCAAACTGGCCGGGTCGAATTTCTCGATGCCAGCGATCAGCGTTTGCTGAGTTTTTTCCGCGGCTACATCTATAAATCCGTAACTCGAGGTCAAAAAACGAAATGCAATATACGCGTATACGCGACAACCATAAAGCATAAACCATGGAGACCCATAGATCCGTACCAAGTACCAACCGTATGCAGATGACAACTTTGCTACGATAGCGTGCATGGCGGATGATAGTTTGAATGAAATATTACAATTAAACCTACAAAGGTTTTATTTGTACCTATTTCTATTGGGATCGAACAAATGGCGAAATATTTCGCGTGGTGTTAAATTGAATAATGCATGAAATAATTGTATATAAGAACTGTATAGAAAAGCTTGAAAATGGTCAATTGATCGATCGTGGCAAGTTTAGCGTTAATGGATGTGCAAAGCACAGTGAAAAACAATGTTGTTTTTCGCTATTTTAAGCGTATCATGGGATTATTTCAAAAACAGCGTAGGTGTATATTTACATATATACACATGAACGATAAATAAAAGTATCATCCTTATCCGTAAAAAAAAGGGTATTATCCTTTTAGATTTGTAAAATATAGTAATCGAAATAGAAAAACAAGAGTATATGTATATATATGTTACCACCTGGAAAACGGTAACGTTGGCAACCCTACATACAAACGATACGACCGAGTTTCCAGCCTACGCTGTTTTCGCGTTCTCTCTTGGCGAGGAACGTCGAGAAGTTGTATCGTTTTGTTATTGGGATATTTCTAAAACGTTTAACATAATTTGTTTATGAAATACAGTAGGTATTAGGAAAGAGAGAATGGATTGATCGATCACGCCACCTCATAGCACCAAAAGCAATCGAGCGTCCCCTGTTACCGACCAAAGCGGTTGATGATCCGACGGTAATACATATCGACCGATAAACACTATGATACCTTTGGCGTTGGGTAAAATAATCTTCTCCTTTGTGTCGGCATGTTTCAATTGATCTTGCTTAAAAGACTCCACATCGTGGATTAAATCAGAATGCCGTCGCTCTTGTCGTACGTCTACATATAATATTATGACTGTTACAATCTTGACGAACATATAAGTCGGTATCGAACAAAATGTAATCCACGATTACGATCATCGAGTAATCTGATTATTCCGAGTGATTATCGATAGTTTGTGAATTAGACACTGTTACATATCGTTTTAAATACGAAAGATACATTTGAGAAACTATATGTATATATCCTTGGAATGGAAATTAAAGCATATTTAGAGACAAGGTTATGTATACCTTCAGCGGAAGGTAAAACGTTCTTTTCGGCGGTCGCAGCTTTCTTCATGCAACCATGATTGAACCCCTCCAATTCGCTTTTCAAGTCTAAGGCTACTTTTGGCAGGTCTTTCAATGACGGACTCGACATGGTGGCTGTGCTGTGCTCCCCGATCTGGAATAGAGAATCAATCGTTACTGCTGATACAATTGTATTCGTTAAATTATTTCGATCGAACCGACGCGACAAACGAAATAAATAGCCGGCATAACCTCGACGAATTTTTTTAACGGTAAATTAAAACGTAATCGATTCGGTTAGTATTTAAATGTTACGACACATATTTTTTAATACGTTATGCATCCTGATTATTCGTTAATATACAGATAACAAATACTATTTTCTGATACTTTGCAACCCGCAAGAGTTTCCGCTTTGACAGCCGCGATACAGAGAACAAGATTACGCGGAGGAAGAACTTCCAATTACAGAGTGACACCAACGACTTGAACCGCACAATCTGAAATTAACCGTTGCGGTTTTTTTCTTTCTACACGAACGCGATACGTTTCTGTTTACCGCCTTGAGGGTAACAAAGAAGCTAGGCAACCACAAGACAATACGCTTTTTCTTCGTTGATTCCGTCGATATTCTTGAACAATTGTATCGTTGATGTTTTTGGTACGTATCCAGGAACGAGTCTTGGTGATTGAAATCGAAACAGAGAACGGAGGGAAACGGACAGTGGCGCGTTATCCTGTAGGCCAGTGCTTCTCAAACTTCACCTTGTACTAAAGCATGCAGTACAAAACAGTCTAAAGTCTAAAAGACCAACGAGTCCCGGATCGCGAGAGATGCAATCCGCAGGAACGTAACTGCCATAAATTCCGAACGAGTAACGGCACTGTTTCTATCGAATGCAAAGCCGAGCAAGTGTTGCACGCCTAGTATTTCCGGTCTCCCCGTCAATTTTCTTTTTTCTACAGACTAAATAACGGATTTGCCATAATTATGTCTGCACGTAGCTAGACGCGTTGAATATTAATACAATGCACGGCTTTCTATACACATTCTAATTAATGGACGTAGTAACTGGTGTGGAATGTACAGGATCGCATTAAATTCATTCGATTCGAAGGCAGATGTCAATTTAATCATTCGATTCGCTCATTAATTGCGTTTTAGGGAAATATTATTATTGTACTTCCAGAGTAGGATTTTTCTTTCTTTATTTTGTGAAAATAAAATAAGAAAAAAATGAAAAAAATTTCCATTCAAATAGGTTAAGAAACCACGTTCAGCGATAGACGAAATTAGCTATTCCGTGATAAATATTCGATGCCAATTGATGACACGTTTGTGCCAGCGATAAAAGAACAGAGTCGTAGTAAAACAATGCTAATCGTTTTTTCAAAGTATTCTTAAATATTTTGGAAGCTAAACTTACCCTTTGGTAGGACACTGCGATAATCTGTAATAATCTAGTAACGATTCGTATGGTGGCGCGAGGTAACCAAGGACGACGCAACTAATGTTACAGCATTTGTGACAGAAATGTACGAAACGAAAAATAGCTACCTATAATAATTATGACAACATATAAATTTCCAGAAATTGTTAAGCAAAGCTATTTTTTACTTTACTAATAATTACTTCATTCGACTCGAAACAAATGTACCATTTATCTCGAAGCTTCAGCGCTATCCACTGCTAAGCAACGCGTTACGAAGCGGAAGTAGCTGAAGCTCGGTACTTCCGGTTAGCGCTGGCTTCCATTTCGTTTCTTGTCACATATCCTTCGCGCATAATTTCTTACTGAAACATCGTCATTTCTACGAAGCAGGATTTTGTTCACGATTCGACTACCTCGATCGTACGCCTCTCTTCCTTTACAAGAAAAACTGTAAAGCACCACAAATCCAAACAATTTTATCGACACCGTAGTTGGAAAATTCAGCAAAATTAGACAAATAAATAAACAACAAATTGCTCTCGGTCAAGTATTTAAATCCAAGTTCTCCATGTTAAACTTATTTCGGTTTTCCTTCGATATTTGAATATTTCATAAAATTCTCAGCTTCGTACGTGCTCGAAGACGCGTATGTAAAAGCACGTGTCCAAAGAAACTGCGACGTTAAAATAAAGTTTCTGCGATGCAAGTCGAAAAATAATTGATAGCCTTCGCAGTCTTTGCACGTTCAGCGACTTTGAGACTCGTCGTATGTTCCTACATCGAATCCGTAATTAAAAAAAACTTTGGGCACCACTGAACCTACCCATGACTCATGCCGCGTCGAGTTCTCCCTTCCATTTATGTCTCCATTTTTTTCTCTCTATTTACGTCGTTTATATTCGTTACTTTCAGCATCTAGATGACTATTTTTAAAGGATAAAAATATCGAAAGGAAGAAGGAGCGATATCGAAGAAAGGACATATTTCTATATCTCGCGCATGAATCGAGTCACTGGCTAAAAGTCGCAAACCACGCTATTGGAATGACCGTGACATAACAT